AAAATGTTGAAATTTATTAATTCTGAGATCTAGGCAGTCCTAAAAAGTTCCAAGCAGGAAAATAAATAGAGATCCATATCTAGACACATCATAATAAAACTGCAAAACACTAAAGAAAAGGATATTCTTAAAAACAGCTGTCAATCTAAACTCTATACCCAGTGAAAGTATCTTTTAAGAATCCAAGGTGAAGTAAAGAAATAGAGGGTGGAAAAAGAAATGTCATGCAAATATCAACTAAAAGAAAGCTGGTATAGCTGTATTAATATAGCAAAAAAGATTTTAAGGAAATAATATTACTAAGATAAAGATCATTACAGAGTAATAAAGTATTGGCCAGAAAGATATAACAATTCAGATGCACTATACCCAAAAGATGGCCCACAAATACAATAAAGCAAAAACGTAGGGCCACAGGAAAGCTAATAAGTCAAGAGAGTTAGAGATTTAATACCTGTCATAGTAACTAATAAAACAGAAGATAAATAATCAATAAGTATATAGGAGACTTGAACAATACAATTAATAAGGCTGATAAATGGACATATAAAACATACATCCAATAATTAGAATATATATTCTTCATAAGAACAATAGTATATTTATGAAATTGACCCCATGCTAGTCCTTATAGGAAGCCTAAACTTATTTTGGAAGGACTGGTATCAGATAGAGACCACATTTCCTGAGTACAACAATTTTTTTAAAATTCATAATAAAAATAAAAAACATAAAGAGGCTAAGAATAAACCTAAGATACACAAGATCCTTATAAAAACAACTATCAAACTTTATTGAAAGACATCAAAAAGTTCTAATAAATGGAGAGATATACTATATAATTGGATTAGAAAACTCAATACCATAACATGTCAATCTCCCCTAAATGATCTAAAGATTACAGTAATGAATAAAATTCAAATTGGGACTTTATGAAGTTTGACAATCTGGTTCAAAAGTATATACAAATTGTACAGTGCTGTGGAAAACAATTTGGTGATTTCTTGAAAAGATAAATGTAGAATAACCGCATGACCCAGCAATTCCACTGCTAAGTACCCAAAAGACTGAATATGGAAACTCAGATACTAGTACACAATGTTCAAAGCTGCATTATCCACAATACAAAAGGTGGAAACAACTCAAGTGTCCATCAACAGATGAATGGCTAAACAAAATGTGGTACATACATACAATGTAATATTATTTAGCTGCAAAAAGAAATGAAGTTCTGATATATACCACAACATGGATGAACCTTGAAAACATGCTAAGTAAAATAAGCCAGATACAAAAAGACAAATGTATGATTCCATTCATATGAAATATCTAGAAAAAGGCAAATTCAGACACAAAATAGATCAGAGATTACCAGGAACTAAGGGGAGAGAGAATGGGAAAATATTATATGATGGGTACAGAGTGCCTTTTTGGAGTAATGGAAAATTTTGGAACTAGATAGTGATGATGGTTTTATAACATTTGTAAAATTTATAACATGTGAATACAATTAATGCCACCAAATTATACACTTAAATATAGTTATAATGGCAAATTTTATGTTTTATATATTTTTCTGTAATAAAAATTTTTAATTATACAAAAGAACAAAAGGCCCAAATAACCAAAATATTCCTGAAGAAGAAGATAGAGTGGGGATGGGTTTTCACTACCCAACATTTAGACTTCTAATAAAGGTATTATAATTTAGAATGTGTGTTTCTGTCACAAGAATAAACAAATAGAGTAACTGAATAGCATATAAGAACCTAGAAATAGATCACACATCCATGAAAACTTAATGTATGACAGATTGTGTTTGCAAGTTAGTAGGAAAACGAGGGGATGTATAACACAAGGACAAGTGGTTACCCATATGGAAAATATAATGAAACTGGATCTCTACCTTCAACCAATAAAACAAACAATCTAAGTTAAGAAAAGATTTAAACATGGAAGGCAAAACTGAAAAATGTTTAAAAGACAATACTGGAGTCCTTATGGCCTCCGCATAGGAAAAGATGTCTTAAGAACAATCATTATCAAAAGATTGAAATTGTATTAAAATTAATAACTTCTGATCAACAAAATAATTATCAAGAAATACAAAGACAAGTTACAAACTTAAAAGTTATATTCAACTTATATAACTATATATTTAAAGAATTCATACAAATCAGGAAAAAAGGACAAATGACCCAATAGAAAAATCAGCAAAAGACAGGAACCAGCATTTTTATAGAAATGTGAATAGTCCATAAGTTATGAAAAGACACTCAACTTTATCAGTAATCAAGGAACTGAAAACAAAAACCACAATGAAATACAATGTCACATTCACTGGATTGGCAAAAAATTTAAGGCCAAGGACATGGAGCAAGGATGCAGCTGGTGGGAGTCTTAGCTGATACAAATATTTTGGCAACAAATATTTTGACATTTCCAGGTAAATTTAGAGATGTGCATACCAAGTGACTCAGCATTTCATTCTTTGGTATATGCCCTATGTACATGATCCTATGGATGTACAATAGGAGGCATGTTACAAGAATGCTCATTGCAGCATTGCTTATAATAGCAAAAAATTAGAAACATTCAAATAGTCACCAATACTGGAATGGATAAATAAATCACAGTAAATTCACATAATAGAATGTTATACAGGATACACATAAAATGAGTCAATCCAGGGATGATTTTCAAAGTATTTAACAACAGGTACCATAGGCCCTGACCAGTCATAATGGACACCAAGTATTATAAGAATAGGTGCAGCCATACAAGTACACAGCAGCTGAATATAAGCAATGTATGAATTTAAAAACTAAAAAAATTAAGTCATAAAAGAAAACATTTGCTATGATTCCAAAACCAAAACCAAAACCAAATAATATATTCTTTAGTGATATATGTATGGGAAAATTATAGAGAAAAGAGTGATAATAAGTTTAAGATAGTGGTAACCCATGGGAGTGGGGATGAAGGATAAACAGGAAGCTTTTAAGGTACCGGTTGTAGTCTATTTCTTAAATCTGGAGGGTAAACAGATGCTTACCTTTAAACAATCCTTATTTCATTGATACATTCTTTTGTATAAAATACATATATTTCAATTTAAAAATTCAGTAAACAAAATTTTAAGAAATGAATATTATGATCACAGAATCATCAGGGAGGCTAGGATTTATGTAAACTGTGTGAGTAGAACAGGTCTGAAGTCACTGCTGACCACCACACTTCAGCTTGTGGCACTGACTTTTACACCAGGAACCTTCATCATCCTAAACCCTGTTGCAGGATAAGAATCTTCTACAGGTCCTGGTTTTTACATCTTTATTACCAAGTTCAAATCTAGCACAGATTCATCTAACTAAGGCCAAGCCATTTGCTCACAACCTAGCTGCAAGTGAGGCTGGAAAAGTTAGTAGTTGGCTTTCAAGTTCTTTTTATTGAGTATCTACCATGAGCTATAACCAGTTCTAGACCCTGGGAATACAATAGGGAACAAACTACCTATCTTTATAGAACTTACACTTTATGGGGATAGGTAGGAGGTAGTTAGACAACCAAAATAAATATCTGATAAGACTCACTCATTAGGGGGAATACCACAAATAGAGAAAGGAGGTTCAGATTTGGGGCAGCTAAAAAGAATGATAAATGTCTTCTATCTGACACAGATGGCTTATGTCACCATTTATGAATGTATAAAGTAGAAGTATTAGGTTAAAGAGAACATACACCCAAGGCTTTTGTACACACTGCTAAATTCCTCCTCAAAAATTTTATGCAAATTTTACTCCCATTACCAATGTACTGGTAAATCATTTCCCCATGCTGTTTCCCAAAATTCTTTTTAATCTGTCCAAATTGGAGAAGAATCTTTGCAAATTATTATTTTCTGCTGGGTTTTTTGTTTGTTTTTTAAGAGACAGGATCTCACTCTGTCACCCTGGCTGTAGTACAGTGGAGTCCCAAATTCCTGGAGTCAAGCGATCCTCCTGCTTCAACCTCTCAGGTAGCTGGGACTATAGGCATGCACCATCACACCTGGCTAATGAGTTTGATTCATATTATATTTGTATTTCTTATTTTGTAAATTGTGCTTATCCCTCATTTTTTAATATGGATACAGACCTTTATTTTTATAGGACTTTTGTTTTTCATATGTGGTACAAATATTTTCCTATTTATCATTGCCTTTTCATTTTCTGATGTTTAAAAATGTTTTTAATTTTTTTAAAGTTTGATCTGCCAATCTTTTCCTTTGTAGTCTTTTCCCCAACTCAAGACTTTACAAGTCATATATTTTCTTCCAGTATTGTATAGCTCAATTTTTCTATAACTCTTAAATCTCAAGTCTCCAATATTATTTTGCTTTAGCTGTCCTAGGACCATTTTTTGCATAAGTGATTTTTTTTCCAGATTTGAAACGCTATCTTTTAAATACAAAACAGTCTTATATGCTTGGCAATTTAAGTAAGTTCTCCCCATTCCCATTCCATCATGCTATCTCTACCGGTACTTGCATCAGGATCATTGGTTTAATTATTATAGTACTGTGACATGTTTTAACATCTGACACCATAAGCCTCCTATCTTTATTCTTTTCATTTTATAAATTGATCCTCCTTCCCTTTAAGTCCATATCCATAACAGAAAAATGTAGTTGAGCATATTTATACAGGTATTTTCAATAAGAAAAAGTTCAGAGCAAAATGTATTAGTATCAGTTGTAATATAGAAATAAAATTTTTCAGATAATTCTGGTCATAGAGGAAAGCATGCCTCTATGGAAAATCTGCAAACAAACCAAGACATTGAGTTTTTCCTCCAAAATTTGGGAAAACTACATACAACTTTTTTTTTTTTTTTGAGACAGAGTCTCGTTGTGGCATCAGCCTAGCTCACAGCAACCTCAAACTCCTGGGCTCAAGTGATCCTACTGCCTCAGCCTCCCAAGTAGCTGGGACTACAGGCATGCGCCACCATGCCCGGCTAATTTTTTTTTTTTTAACATAGATATTTTTAGTTGGCCAATTCATTTCTTTCTATTTTTTTTAATAGAGACAGGGTCTCACTCAGGCTGGTTTCAAATTCATGACCTTGAGCGATCTGCCCGCCTCGGCCTCCCAGTACATACAACTTTTAATGTTCCTAGTAACAGCACTAAAGTCTGTATCAATTCCAGTTATGTGGAAAGGACACAGAAGAACTAAGAGCAAAAGAATATTCTGGCACTGATTAGAATCTACCACTTTTTTTTAGACATTACCTTTCTTACCTCTAGAGATGGAGCTATCTTCAGATATAATGTCCTTTAGAATATGTTCAACAATAGAGCAGTAAGTAATTTAGACAGATATCATTGAGATTTAGAATACATGTTTGTCAATTTTAAAACATACTGTTTGAGGAGGAAAATTGTGACTGGAATATATAATCTGGAATCATCTGATCATTATTCTTAACTACTGACTACTGGAATACCTCTCCAGATTCCAGGGTCTTTAGCTACCTCCTGTTCAGAAGGATCTGACTTTCAAAACAATTGTTGGAAGGATATTACTTTTTCTCATGATACACCATGTCTTCCTTTTTGCCTCCTACTCTCCCTTTCCTTCCACTATGCCTTAGACATTGTTTAACTGCTGATAATTTGTGGAATTTAAAAAAGTATTAGGCTCAAGATCTAAATCTGTGTTCTATTTTTCAGGGTGGTCTTTACAGCATTTCTGATTGGATTAATGTGTAGTAGTAAGAGAAGTATTTCAATAAATGCCACCCAAAGAATTGAAATTTTATCAATTGTATAATTTTCAATATCAAAATGAGATGTAAAATATTCAGACATTTCACTTATGAGCCCAGAAGCAATCTATACAGATCCTTCTATGGTTCATTAGCATGATAATTGGGTTTTCATTCTCAAGTGTGAAATGTGCCTCCCTCAAACCTTGTTAGCACATTACCTGTCTGATGTGAGAGAAAAAAAATGTTTTAATCTATATAGATGTGAGATATCACAAATTACTACTTTAAGTGAATCTTTTCACTTGACTTTTACCATATAAGAATCAACATAGCAGGCCGGCCCGGTGGCTCACGCCTGTAATCCTAGCACTCTGGGAGGCCAAGGCAGGCGGATTGCTCGAAGTCAGGAATTCAAACCAGCCTGAGCAAGAGCGAGAACCCATCTCTACTATAAATAGAAAGAAATTAATTGGCCAACTAATATATATATAGAAAAAATTAGCCGGACATGGTGGCACATGCCTGTAGTCCCAGCTACTTGGGAGGTTGAGGCAGAAGGATCCCTTGAGCCCAGAAGTTTGAGGTTGCTGTGAGCTAGGCTGATGCCACAGCACTCACTCTAGCCTGGGCAACAAAGTGAGACTCTGTCTCAAAAAAAAAAAAGAATCAACATAGCAGATGAAGTTTGACACCTCTACATCTTCAAGGGGCAGAACTCAAAAACAATCAACATATTTCTTATGCATATAACCATCATTATGACCAGACTATTTTTTTCATCAAGAATAAATGGTGGAAATGTTAGACATTAAGAAAGCATAATCACCTAGTTTATTTTAGTTCATCATTAAAAAAATTACCTTTGGAAATCCCATATAATTAGGTTGGTATCTCCTGCCAGATCCAGAGGTCAAATGGCCATTACAATGACTTACTCTCATTGACTCATTGTCCTTGTTTATAAAATGGGGATATTACATACTTTATACAATTACAGTAAGAATATATAAGATTAGGGATACGAGAGTTCTTAGCATATGCCAGATATAGTAGGCACTCAAAGGTTAGTTCTAATTTTCCCATACTGATACTGCACTAAATTAAGAACACACAAAACAACAACAAAAACCAACTTGGATCCGAGAATTAGTTAACACACAGATTACAGGCATACCTCGTTTTATTGCACTTTGCTTTATTGTGCTTCACAGGTATTATGTTGTTTATAAATTGAAGGTTTGTGGCAACCTTGTGTCGAGTAAGTGTATTGGCACCATTTTTCCAATAGCATGTGCTCGCTTTGTGTCTGTGTGTCACATTTTGGTAATTTTCAAAATATTTCAAACTTTTCCATCATTACTATTATATCTGTTATGGTGATCTGTGATCTGTGATTTTTTGATGTACTATTGTAATCATTTGGGGAAGCCCTGAACCGTGCCCATAAAAGACAGCAAACTTAGTCAATAAATGTTATATGTGTTCTGTCTGCTCTGCTGACCAGCCGTTCCCATCTCTCTCCCTCTCCTTGGGTCTACCTATTCCCTGAGACACAAGAGTAATGAAATTAGGCCAATTAATGACCCTAAAATGGCCTTAGTGTTCAAATGAAAGGAAAAGTTGCACATCTCTCACCTTAAATCAAAAGCTAGAAGTGATTAAGCTTAGTGAGGAAGGCATGTCAAAAGGTAGGCCTCTTGTGCCAGTTAGCCATGCTGTGAACGCAAAGGAAAAGTTCTTGAAGGCAATTAAAAGTGCTCTTCTGGTGACACATGAATAATATGAAAGCAAAACAGCCTTACAGCTGATATGGAGAAAGTTTTAGTGGTTTGGATAGATGATCAAACCAACTGCAACATTCCCTCAAGCAAAAGCCAATTCCAGAACAAGGCCCTCTTCAACTCTCTTCCATTCTATGAAGGCTGAGAGAGGTGAGGAAGCCGCAGAAGAAAAGTTTGAAGCTATCAAATGTTGGCTCATGAGGTTTAAGGAAAGAAGCTGTCTTCATAACATAAAAGTACAAGGTGAAGCAACGGCTGATGTAGAAGCTGCAAGTTACCCAGAAGATCTATTATAGCTAAAGATTATTGAGGAAGGTAGCTACACTAAACAACAGATTTTCAATGTGGATGAAACAGCCTTATATTGGAAGAAGATGCCATCTAGGACTTTCATATCTAGAGAGAAGTCAATGCTTGGCTTCAAAGCTTCAAAGGGCAAGCAGACTCTCGTTTGGGATTATTGCAGCAAGTGACTTTAAGTTGAAGCTTAGTTGCAACTGTGAAAATCTGAGGGCCCTTAAGAATTATCTACTCTGCCTGTGCACTAGAGGGAACATCAAAGCCTGGATGTCCACACATCTGTTCACAACATGGTTTATTGAATAATTCAAGCCCACTGTTGAGACCTAATGCTCAAAAAGATTCCTTTCAAAATATTACTGCTCATTGACAATGCACCTGGTCAATCAAGAGCTATAATGGAGACAAACCTGAGATTAATGTTGTTTTCATACCTGCTAACACAACACCCATTCTGGAGCTGATGGATCAAGGAGTACTTTTGACTTTTGAGTCTTATTATTTAAAAAATACATTTTTGTAAGGCAATAGCTGCCAGAGATAGTGATTCCTCTGATGGATCTAGGCAAAGTAAACTGAAAAGCTTCAGGGAAAGATTTACCATTCTACATGGCATTAAGAACACTGGTGATTCATGGAAGGAAGTCAAAATATCAACATTAGCAAGAGTTTTGAGGAAGATGATTCCAACCTTCATGGATGATTTTGAGATGTTCAAGACTTCAGTGGACAAAATAACTGCAGATGTGATGGAAAGAGCAGGAAAACTAGAATTAGAAGTGGAGTCTGAAGATGTGACTTAATTTGCTGCAATCTCACGATCAAACTTGAATGGATGAGGAATTGCTTTTTATGGATGAGCAAAGAAAGTGGTTTCTTGAGATGGAATCTACTCCTGGTGAAAGTGCTATTAACATGTTGAAACAACAACAAAGGATTTAGAATATTACATAAACTTAGTTGATAAAGCATCAGCAATTTCAAAGGATTGATACCATTCTTGAAATAAGTTTTACTGTGGATAAAATGTTATCAAGCAGCATCACCTCATGCTACAGAGAAAACTCATGAAAGGAAGAGTCAATTGATGTGGCAAGCTGCATTGTAGCCCTAGGAAATTTCCACAACCTTCCCACCCTTCAACAACCACCACCCTGATCAGTCAGCAGCCATGGACATGAAGGCAAAAATCCTTTCCACTAGCAAAAAGATTAGGACTGGCGGA